CAAATGCCACTTCTGGTTGCTATCTTCTTCTCGAGCTCGGCTGCTAAGTCTTGCCACTCCTCTCCTAGCAACACAGAACGCCGACCAAATTGGGCAAGCGTCATCAAAAGGTGCCCGTTTGGCGCGCACCTCTGTCACCCGGCGCAGCTCCAGAAAATCCTCAGTGTTTGAGCCGGCAGTAGCTTGGTCATCCGGGGTCTTCATCTCCGTCGTGTCCAGCGCGCCGCATGCTCCCAAGATGGCCAACGCATGGCTTTGCTCCATGCGTCCAACGCCCCTCCATTCTGGAACAAGCTTGGCCAGCCCTGCTCCATCTCGGAAACGTGTGAGAACTTTGCCCCAACTTTCCAATGCTGGCTGCACAGTGGACACCACCAGCTTGGCTGGGTTCATCTTGGAGTTGGCGCTTATGGCAGATTGGTGTTCACATGTGTGGTGAACGACCGGCGGCCGTCATTCCAGCGCACGCCGCTGGCAACAACTTCTGGGCCTTGCGTTCACTCAGCTCCAGCAGCACAGTGATCATCTGGCCGGGTTCATGAACTCTTTCCAAGTTGTCAAGGTCAGCGAAGTAGGTTGCCAGGAAAAGGCTCCTATGCATCAACCAAGTTTTGCGAGGAGAACTCGACAAGTGCAGGACGATGCGAACAACTCTTACAAGCTAATGGTGGTTGGGGACCCGACTCACCCAGGCTTTACTTCCAGGACCATTCTTTCTGAAACCGGTCAAAAAAACCTTGGAGCTCGGACCTCCCCACTACGATGCAACAAGATGATAAGCACGCCTGCTTGACTGTGTGTTCGCTCGTCCCTCTCTGCGATAGCACCAGATCTCCAAGAGCAAGTAACCAGGAAACCACCAAGCCACTCTGCGATTGGCGAAACGGCTCTTGTTGATGGCCCCAGAAAGAAACCATCAAACACGGCGGCGGCGTTAGCAACTCTTACTATAGACTATACAGCCACCGAACATGTGTCGAAACATGGCCATGACCGTGTGTCCTTGTTGCAATCACCACATTGAGCACCAGAGCCGCCATTCCGTAATGTTGCTGGGCAGTTCGAAACGCACGCAGAGTGTCCAGCAGCACCGAAACCTTTTGCTTGAAGGGGTCGGAATCGATGTAGGAGGCGAAGCTGTGTCGTCAAAGAAGAAATGGATGGACCATGTCTGTAGCATGTGTTGGTCTTGATGCTATCAGCACATCCCTCCAGCTTAGTTTCCCGACAAGCCACGTATGCTGCGAGCAAGTACATCAGAATCTCGCCCGGAGCTGCCAAATTCAAGTCGAGATCTCGGAAAAGAACGTTGATTGCAAGAATGAAATGGAACTGCCCGGATTTCCAAAAATACCCACTGCGGGAGGCTAGCACAAGGGTAATGCAATACAGCTCACGTTGACCCCTTTGGTGTTCCATGGGTCCAGAGACTGTAGAGAAGCTAGTGCCGCAGAGAATAGCACCTTACGACATCCCGCCATGAAAACCCTTGAGCCCTCGCACTTGCAAGCCCTGGGCACTTTCGGACACCTGCAAAACAGCAGCGTCCATATTGCGGAATATGTGGAAACAAGGCTGAGAAATCGGTTTTCAACCCCTGTCAGGAGGCAACGAGATATGTCAAAGCTCCGACCTTGCCATCACGAAGGTGTCAAACGCTTCTGCAAAATGCGTTTGTCAGTGGGACTGGATTACATAGGTTGCAATGAGGACAAAGCGTCGCAGGAGCAGCTAGCAAAGCGAAAGACTGGACCTGATTTTGGCCGGGCCACATGGCTATCCAACTGAGAAGGTGCTAAATACTGGCAACAAGATAGGAGGCAAGGTTTACCAAGATAGGAGGCAAGGTATACAACAGCACTGCCAACAATAAAGGGTGCTGAACTACATGATGCAACCAGAGGGAGACAGCAATGAGCAGCTACATCGGCGCCAGTAAATCCTAGCAAGTCTCTGCGCAAGTTCCTCTTAAGCAGTTGTTGGCGCGAGTTCCTTTGAGCAAGTTCTCCAAGCAAGTTCTTGGCACAAATTTTCTGAGCAAGTTCTCAGAGCAAGTTTCTCTGAACAAGTTTCAATGAGCAAGTTGTCTGAGCAAGCTCTCTGCGCGCAGCGCTTGCCGCAACACACTGCAACTTCGTAGTGCAACTCAATACTGCAACTTGCTAGTGCCACTGGCTAGCGCTACTGGCTCGTGCATCTCGCTAGCGCTATCTTGCTCGTGCTACTGGCTTGCGCCATTTTGCTAGTGGCAATTTGCTAGTGCAACTCGCTAGTGCTACTTGCTAACGCAACTGGCTTGCGCAACTTGCTGGTGTCATCCGCAGGGGGTCTTTCCTTCAGCCCGCTTCAAACGATTCGGCTAAAACAGTCGGTGGCTGACCCGCACCAAGCCGTCAAGCCACTTGGCTTGGGGGCGGCGAAGGCGCCACCAGAGAGGATTGCTGCGCTGGGGGCCACTTGGCTGGGCCATTCCCACAAGGATGCAAACAAGCAGGTAACAGGGGGGCCGGGGGGGGGCGGGGGGCCACTTGGCCAGCTGTGCAGGTCGCCAGAAGATGCAAACCCTTCACTTGACCAAGAAGCGCGGCACTGGCTTCCAAAAAGCAGCTCAGTATCCTGAGCAAGGCAATCAGCCGGATGTCCCAGAATATTTGTTTGTCGAGAATACAGACACATTTAATTAAGGCTCGACAGGGCTCTGCTGAAGGATTTGACCAAGAAGTGCGGCACTGGCTTCCAAAAAGCAGCTCAGTATCAGCCGGATGTCACGGTATTTGTTCAGCTGATGCGCCACAAGGCTGCAAACCTGCACTTGGCCAAGCATTTAAGGCTCGACAGAGCTCAGCTGATGCGCCACAAGGATGCAAACTTGCACTTGACCAAGAAGTGCGGCACTGGCTTCCAAAAAGCAGCTCAGAACCCTGAGCACAGCAATCAGGCGGATGCCACGGTATTTGTTTATCGAGAACAACATAACATATTTAAGGCTTGGCAGGATGCGCCAGAGCGCAAACCTGCACTTGACGAACAAGTGCGGCGCTTCCAAGCAAAGTAATTGTTTATCGAGAACAAAATGGACACATTTAAGGCTGGACAGGGCTCTGCTGATGCGCCGCACAAGGATGCAAACTTGCACTTGATCAAGAAGTGCGGCACTGGCTTCCAAAAAGCAGCTCAGAATCCTGAGCAAAGCAATCAGGCGGATGTATATTTGGTTACCGAGAACAAAATGGACACATTTAAGGCTCGACAGGGCTCTGCTGAAGGATGCAAACTTGCACTTGACCAAGAAGTGCGGCGCTGGATGTCACGGCGTTTGTTCAGCTGATGCGCCACAAGGCTGCAAACCTGCACTTGGCCAAGCATTTAAAGCTCGACAGAGCTCAGCTGATGCGCCACAAGGATGCAAACTTGCAATTGACCAAGAAGTGCGGCACTGGCTTCCAAAAAGCAGCTCAGTATCAGCCGTATTTGTCTATTGAAACCAGTCTATTTAAGGCTCGACAGGGCTCTGCTGATGCGCCACAAGGATGCGCACTTGACCAAGAAGTGCGGCACTGGCTTCCAAAAAGCAATCAGCCGGATGTCACTATATATTTGCTTTTGTATCGAGAGAAACATAGACATATTAAAGGCTCAACAGGGCCCTGCTGGTGCGGCACAAGGATGCAAACCTGCACTTAGTGCGGCACTGGCTTCCAAAAAGCAGCTCAGTATCAGCCGTATTTGTCTATTGAAACCAGTCTATTTAAGGCTCGACAGGGCTCTGCTGATGCGCCACAAGGATGCGCACTTGACCAAGAAGTGCGGCACTGGCTTCCAAAAAGCAATCAGCCGGATGCCACTTTATATTTGTTTTTGTATCGAGAGAAACATAGACATATTAAAGGCTCAACAGAGCCCTGTTGGTGCGGCACAAGGATGCAAACCTGCACTTGGCCAAGAAGTGCGGCACTGGCTTCTAAAAAGCAGCTGAGTTTCCTGAGCAAAGCAATCGCCGGATGTCACGATTTGTTTGTTTAACGACAAAAAATAAGGCTCGACATTGCTGGTTTCTAGCTCCAACGATGCTCCACAAGGATGCAAACCTGCGCTTGGCCAAGAGACAGGCACATCCTTTGCACGCAGGCTAGCAGCAAAATCTGCGACACGCCCTAAGCAAGAAACAGGTTCAGCTGGTTTTGCCCGGGAACTTCACTTTTCCTGTTGTCTCAGCATCTGGCATCCGACCGCAGAGGGACGAGCGGGAGACACAGAAAGACAAGCGGGAGACACGACCCCGGAGCCAGCGTCACAGCATCTGGCATTTGACCGCAGAGACTGGGAGACACAGGGACACAAGCGGGAAACACGTCCCAGGAGACACGCAGCTGGCGTCGCAGAGCCAGCGTCACAGCATCTGGCATCTGACCGCGGAGACAGGGAGACACGTCACAGCATCTAGCATCCGACCGCAGCGACTGGGAGACACAGGGAGACAAGCAGGAGACACGACCCCGGAGCCAGCGTCACAGCATCTGGCATCCGACCGCAGAGACTGGGAGACAAGCGGGAGACACGACCCCGGAGCCAGCGTCACAAAAAAACAGGGAGACAAGCGGGAGACACAACCCCGGAGCCAGCGTCATGGCATCCAGACACAGGGAGACAAGCGGGAGACACGACCCCGGAGCCGGCGTCACAGCATCTGGCATCTGACCGCACAGACTGGGAGACACAGGGAGACAAGCGGGAGACACGACCCTGGAGCCAGCGTCACAGCATCTGGCATCTGACCGGAGAGACTGGGAGACAGGAAGACAAGCGGAAAACAGGACCCCGGAATCGGCGTCACACTTTCCTATTCTCTATACCTCAAGTTAGAACCCCAATGCTTCGCTGTTTCGGGAATAATAATAATAAATTTAAAAATAAATCCCTGAAACCTCTCCAAATCACTCAAAGTCGATCCAAAACAGGCACGCTTGGCCACATGTTGCCTTTGACGGCATCCCAGTCGCCGCGACGTGCCGCACCATCCGCAGAACGGCAAATTTGTGGCAGGACCGCAGCACCGCCAGCAGGCATCGTGCCTGGTTGCGCCGCCGCCGGACCAACGCCCGGCACATGAACCTCAGGAAAGCGGCGCAAACGCGCATGGCGGCCTCCTTTAGACGCCCAAGGGTTCAGGAAAGTAGTGTCTTTGGATATATACACATGTAATATATATATATATGTATATATATATATTGTTTATATGCCGTGTGTATAGCGTATGTAAAGTGTGTATTGCGTGTATTCTGTGTGTTGTGTGTGTTGTGCGTATTGTGTGCATGTGTATGCATGTGTGTGTGTATTGTGTCTATTGTGTGTATTGTGTGAACTGTTTGTATTGTGTGTAATGCATGTGTTGTGTGTATTGTGTATATTGTGTGTATTTGCGTGTATTGCGTGTATTGTGTGTATCGCCTGTCTGTGTAGTGTGGTTGTGTGGTGTGTGTGTGTGTGTGTGTTGTGTGTGTGTGTTGTGTGTGTTGTGCGTGTGCTTGCGTAATATGTATCTCCACTCTATATGGCCACCGGCCACTCTGAAATGGTTGGTAGCCCTATTTCAACTGCGCAGGGCAGTTCATCCGGCAACATAGGTAGCATAGGCGGTGACAACGAGCCGTCAATGCTTGATTGCACAGTTCACCAATGCCCCTTTGAGAGATCGAAACTAAGTGACACCTGCAATAAACACTCGGACGAATATATCAAGCATCCCCAAGTAGAATCCCCAACACCAACGGCCAAAACTGGTTCCCGGCAACATCAGAACTCTCTGGAATCGCTGCGCGGAACCTGCAAGCCGCCCCCAACCCAAGCTTGGCAACTTGGCGAAACACCCCACAGCCGTCGCTGTTGGGGGAAAAATGCGGCTTCTCCAAAGGCACAGGTCTTCTGCGAACCTGCACTTGGCCAGGAAGGACATGGCCTCCTCAGAGTTCGTCAGCGGCAGCTGCAGGCCCCCGCAAGTCCTAGGCGGGGCCAAGGGTGCAACGGGCCAGCCCGCAAACTTTTTTGATTTCGGGGTGCAACCCGTTTAAGCAAATGCATTGGTCAGCCTTGCACCCTCGCAGCGCTCGGGGCCCGGCTTCATCGACCGCCCGCGCAGCGGGGTCTCGGGAGCCTGAGTTGCAAGGGGGCTCAAGCGATTGTGCATAAGGCGCTTGCTGTGGATGCGTCGGTTCACCCGCTTAAAAAAGCAGCAAGGTTGCATTGCATGCATGCGCCTTGCCTGGCTACTCAACAGTTCCCAAAAGGAAATTCAACGCCAATTGATGTTTAACCACCCAAACCAGGAATTGCAGGAATCAACAGCATTGAGTCACAATCCAACCCAGCGCTAAAGGAACCTACAGCCGAGTAGCGAGCTCCTCTCGCTTGGACGCCAGCCTTCGCAGCTGCTCCTGCATGCCCTTCGCATAATGAGAACCTGGGTGCAACTGCAGCTGGCACATCGCAGGGAGCCAAGGCAGGGCCCCACCCCCCAAAAAACTTGCTTCTCAGAACCTGGCCTCCTGGGGCTGACCACCTTTGAGCAGGAGTGGGGGGGTCCTCATGTCGCAGCACCGCTTCCGCAGGCGCTGGCATAAGCATGTGGTCAATCGCGAAGCGGTTCCAGATGGAAATTGCTTGGACTGCGTGTCAATATTGGGGGACCCCAAGAATTGTCCCCCTCCCCCCAACTAAAAAGCAAAACAAAGCTATCCCGATAAACACACACACACACGACAGCACACGAGAGCATGGCCACCTTCGATTTGACTTTACGAAATAAAGGGTTGGTCAAACTCAATCCATAAACCTGCAGGGGGAAACCACTAGTCACTACAGTGGCCCCTCCGTCCAAATGAAGGATTGAGAGTTGCCTTTGAGCAGTCCCGTTGTAAAGAGGAAGCGAGGAAAGAGGCCGCTTTCAGCACTAGGTGGATCACAATCAAAACCTGGTGTTCAAATGCCATGGCAATGAGTCAAAAAAGCTTCTTGCCGCACCTTTCTGGCTGGGACTCTTCACTTACCGGGTTTTGACTGTGGCCAGGGGCTGAACAGGGTAAGAGTTGATGGCACGATTCTCTTCATGTGCGTATCAGGGACGACTCAGGTTGGAATAAGCAGTGCCATCGGCTTTCACTCATCTGTAACATGTTGGTTGCAAACTGTTTCCCTTTCAAGGCGCCATCCGAAAGGGGAGGTTGGTGCAAACTTCCCCTCCGAACATCACCCCAAGAGGAAACTACTGCTTGGCAACCAACAGTGATGTTCAAAACCACAAGCCCGACCCCTTGAGACTTTTATTCTGGGATCCCAGCGCCACGCATTGAGGGCCGCCTCCCGCGCAAAAGGCCTCACCTCACGGTTAGGGCTACCATTTTGGAGATCCCCTAGTTGTGAGACAAACCCGCAAACACCCCGCATGTCGTTTTTGGAGCTGGCAGTTGGTACTCCTTTTTGGTTGCTTCAAAGGGAAACCGGAAGGAAAAGCGCAGTTGTTTGTGGGGCTCACACAAACACATCAACACACCAAACATCTGTCAGCCAAGGCTGGCCCGAAAAAGTGCTAGCGTTTCGCGGTAGGGTCTCGCTTCAAACGTCAGCAAGTTGACATCAAATGAGCGACACAGGGCATCGAAGACGACTCACGACTCAGGCAAGGTTTATGGGAAATAGTGGATCTCTCTTAAACAGCTTTTGTGTAGTGTGTGTGTGTGTGTGTCTTCTGTTGGAGCTTGCAGTATTTGGTAGCCTTACCGGAAACCAACAGGAAAACTACCCGTTTTGGTCGAAGTGCCTTGACACAACCCTCCTGCTATGCTGGTGCTCCTTGCTGCACTCAATTATCTTGAGCTTCGTTTTCGCCCAACGTCATGTGTGGCATGCAAATCATGCATTAAAAGGCTTGTGGCGCCTCTGCAGTGTCCTTTATTTGTACGACCGCCCTAACAAGAAAACAGGCGGCTACTGCAAATATGCTGTGCACTCCCCACTGATCTATCAGGGGTTCATATACCAACTTGGCTCACATGTTTGCCATACCAAGCCGCACGTCTCCCAACATAGGGGAACCATGTCCCTGTTTCTAACAAACCGACAAGTTTTCCCGGGGCTGAGCCCAGCCCTTGCAACATGACTGCTTCAACAACCTCCTAGTTTCAGAGGGGACCAGCGCCTGATTCCGTAAACAGTGCTTGGCCCAACCACTGCGCACCACGAAACCAATCCCCATTGCTGAGTGGCGTCTTTGAAGGGAAACGTGCATTCAACCCTGGTGAAAGTAGACGTCACAATTCCGATCCTTGTTGGTTTTAGTCATGCCCTTTAACCCGAAACGAGAACTGTGCCAAGTGGACAGTCGGGAATCCTCTTGGTGAGAGAGTAGCCAGGATGGGAATACCACTTTCAAACAGGAAGGGCAATTTCTCCTACCCTCCCTCCAACAATCATCGAAGCTGACAGGGTTTGGGAAGGCTATGTTCCTTTTGAGGAACCCCCTTGTCCACATCCATGATGATGGGAAGCGGGTAACCGTGCTTGAGCAACAAGACAACCGTGCGTGCAGCCTCCCAGCAAAAACCCTTTGACCTGGCCAAAGGGCATCTTTGCCGCACTCCCGCAGGCTGATGCAGTTCAAGGAGGACAAGCACACCTCGCGACTTGGTTGCAACGTAAAGTTCCCTCAGTGAATTTGTGTCAAAACAACCCCATCACACCCCCTCCCCCCACAAACAAAAAGGAGAGCCTTCCACATGCGAGCTTGGGTTGGTTTCTGTCAATGCCTGGTCTGTGGACAGCTTGATCCATCCATCGGCCCTGCTAAATGTGATGCTTTGTGAGCAACTGGCCCATGTTTCATGGTTGCTTGGCAAGGATGAATTTGTGCATTTAAGACATCACCTTGACGGCCAAGACGTCCAAGCGTATGAGCAGGTCCAGAAGGAAAGCGTTTTAGCACATGCGCTGTACGCGTGCGTGTGGGCGTGCGCGTGAGCAGCAGGCGTGGAGGGCCTGGCGCAGAACGCAAAAACCGTGGTTTTTTGCCTCCAGCCCCTGCACCTTGCGTAAAGACCAATCCAAAAAGATGTCTCGACCTGTCGACGCAGAAAACGGTATGGAAAAGGGTGTCTTGGTTTCCCTTCGGTTCGCTTGCAACGAACCCCAAAAAGGAAGGCAAGCCCGAAACTATTGATCAATCTGAGGCCTGGCCTGGCCGATGGTCCCAAATCCTGATAGGACCTTTGTGGCGTGGTGGCTGAAGACAGCCACGGCCAAGATCTGCATCCATTGCTTGCGGCGCTCCTTGCAGCAGTTTGAGAGCACTTTCGGGGGCACAAACTGAATTTCTCGGCCCAAGGAAATCAAGGCGGAAAAAAAACTGGGAACGAAACAAAATAAAGAAAAGGAAACAAAGGCAAGAAGAGGACAGAAATAGTACAGAAACTGAAAGCAAGGAAAGATGGACACGAAACAAAGGAAAAGAAAAGAGAAGGAAAGGAAATAAAGGCAAGAAAAGGACATAAACAAGGAAAGAAAGAAAGCAAGAAATGGAAACGGAGCAAAAAAAAGAACAAAAGAAGAAACAACAACGAAACAGAAGAAAAGAGAAAAGAAAAGACGTTAGGGGGAGGAGGGTTGTGGGAAGGCAAGAAGAGGACAGAAAAAAGAAAGAAAGGAAAAGCAAGACAAGATGGAAACACAGCAAGAAAAAAGGACAGAATCACGCAGGCGAAGATTGTACGATTAAGGACCGCCGGACCGAGTGTTCAACAAACCTCGCACACACACACACACAAGGTCTAAACTCGCATCTGTAGACACACCCAAACGTCGGCCAGGTATAGTATATACAAAAAGGGAATCCAGGGAAACCATAAAAAAAAAAACATCACTGGATCCAAAGACTGCTCCAATCCGAGGATCAGCGACTGTACATCTGTGATTCTGGAGAAAGCTTCTTTGCCTACCAACTAAACACCGGTGACAGGTACAAAGAAGGTGACCCGAGCAGAACGGTGGCATTTCCTGCGAGAAGTCAACGTAGCCCTGGTAGAAGGTCAGTGCATCGTCTGTACACGCGGAATTCGGATCGTCTGTACACGCGGGACCGGATCGTCTCTGCACGCGGGCCTTTTTTGCCCCGGATCGTTTGTACACGCAGTGCTTACTGCTATGCACAAGAAGGGACAGGGGCGTTGACAGCTGCATGTTTCCTTGCCTTTCTGTCGTATGAACATAGGAAATGTTGTGTTCCGTTGTCTCCTGTGCGGTTTACCTCTGTCAGCCGCTCTCAGGGCGGGCGCGCGTGAGCGGCTGTGCCCCACCCCACCCCACCCCAACCCCCCCACCCCCGCCCACCCCTCCAAGACCCCACCCCGTCTGTTGCGCGCGAGCGGGTGTGCGCTAGGTAGCAGGCATGCACGCAGTGCTGGGCGGGTGCACGTGAGCAGGTGCGCTTTTTAGGTGGGAGGCGTGAATGCAGTGCTGCGCGAGCGCGCGTGAGCAGGTGCCCCACCCCGGACCCAACCCCCACCCCCACCCCCACCCCCACCCCACCCCCCCTCCCCAATACCCCACCCCATCTGTTACGCGTGAGCGGGTGCGCTTGCTAGGTGGCAGGCATGTGTGCAGTGCTGGGCGGGCGTGTGTGAGCGGGTGTGCCCCACCCCACCCCAACCTCCCCAAAGCCTGACCCCAGCCCAGCCCACCCTGAGCAGGCGCTCATTAAGGCGGCAGGCATGTGTTGCACGTGAGTGGGCGTGCTTATCAGGTGGCAGGCATGCGTGCAGCGCTGGGCGGGCGCGCGTGAGCGGGTGTGCTTATTAGGTGGTAAGCGTGGATGCAGCGCTAGGCGGACGCGCGTGAGCGGGTGTGCCCCACCCCGCCCCGCCCCAGCCCCCACCCCCACCCCACCCTTCCCCAATACCGCACCCCATCTGTTGCACGTGAGCGGGTATGCTTATTAGGTGGCAGGCATGTGCTTACCATTCCCCAATGTCAGAGGTGATTTAAGGATCATCCTCTCCGTCTGATGTGGCATTCTCAACCGGGGTGAGGGGGGAATGGTAAGCACACCCGCTCAAGTGCACCCGCTCAGCGCTGTTTCCACGCATGCGGAAGAGTAGCCCGAAGGGGTGGGGGATTGAGATGTCTGTTGATGCAATCGGTCTAGATGCACGAGATCGCCTGATCGAGGATGAGGACCCCCCCCCCCCACAGTGCTGAGCGGGCGCACTTGAGCGGGTGTGCTTACCAATCCCCCCCCCCCACCCCCCCACCCTGCCAAAAGTGTGTGTGTGTACAGATGAGCCAGATGACAGAAACCTTGTGTGCGCAGATGATCCAGAGTGCATGGCGCAATAAGTGAGGAAAGCCTGTGTGTACAGATGATCCAGATTTGTGTGCGCAGATGATCCCCTGCCCCTGGTAGAAGCGCTGGTGGACGGGAGGGAAAGGAAAGGAAATGAAGGCAAGAAAAGAACAAACAACAACAAAGAAAGGAAAAGCAAGCAAAGATGGAAACGAAACAAAAGAAAGGAAAAGAAAGAAAGAAAAGCAAGAAATGACAGAACAAGTTGACAACTGCAGCAAGCAACCAGCATCAGGCTTCTTGAAGCCATCCGAGAGCTTCTCCAAACACGACGCCTCAACCTTGGTTCGGGGGGCCGTCCTCAAATTGTTGCCCCACAGTCAGTGACACCGCCGAGCGCCTGCGGCCTCCTGAGCGAGGCTGAGGGCCGACGGGGTCGAAAATAAACCCACCTCAGGTGGAATCCCCTCGGGACGTTTGAACAGGGTGCTTAGAGCAGAGATCTCATTCGGGTTCCAGGCAGCTGTGGGCAAGTTCCCGGAGAATTCAGAAGGCATGTTGGTCGATGCCGTTTGCTTAGTTGATTGGCTTTCAGTCGGTTCTGATTTGCACAAAAATGTACGGAAACCAATGCCTTGTGCTTGCATATTTTGCAGGCTTGCCTAAACCGCGCGCCCTTGAGACACATATATGCCTGCCAGCAAAACCAACAAATAATAAAACCTGGAGACAAAAAAAACAAGCCCTGAAGGAAATGTTTTGGACGTGCTCACTACCTTTGTTTGTGTGAGGTTTCCTCAAGGTGTTTTTTGCTTTCTCGCATTTGGCCATTCTTCTAGACGATCTCTCCCATGCAAAAGCTGTCTCATACGGCTGTGGCAAATGGATTGGGCTTGGCTGGGATCAGGGTTGGTCTAGGGGTTGACCTGCGTGGGCTGATGGTGAATCTGGGTTGCCTTAGGATGATTTCAGAGTTGATCTGGGTGGGATTGGGGTTGGTGCAGGGTGGGCATGGGGTAGGCTTCAGCTTGTCCAAGCCAGAGGCAAGAAGGCGAAGGCAAGAAGGCAAACAGCAAACCCGAACAAACAATGGGTGCGTCCTTTTTGTGCGGGGGACCCCGTGGAGAAAAACCAAAACGAAAGCCTGACATGTGCGGGGCTCCCAGCTGGGCACTGAGGCGCAGCCCTCGACAAGGAGCCGACTTGGCTCACCCGCTTCTGCTCAAACTGCACCATGCGCTGCTCGTAGCGGCCGAGGTCAGCGGAGAACTTCTCAGCGAGCTCCTTACCCAGCCTTACCCCCCCCCCCCCCCCGCCTTCCCCCTTCCGCATCGGTTTCACATTGGGCCTCTCCTTGAACCAGGGGTTCAAGTCCCCAAACCACACGTCCAAACCACCAGTGAAGCGCTACCTGAGAAAAGAACTCCAAAATGCGCTAAAACGGAGGGGGGGGGAGGGCGGGAAAGCGGCGACATTCACAGAAGAAAGCGAATCCAAACCGTTTGTAAGTTGCACCCTCCTACCAACTGTGGAACCAACCAGGCTAGTCATTTGGGGGGCACTCCTACAAACGATCCTCTGCTGGACCCCCTGTTAACTTGAATTGTGAGCGAACTGAACGGTGTAGCACCAGACAAAAGCAGCAAAACAAAAGCAAGGCCCACACAGCTTTTGCCAGGCCTGCTGCCAAGAATCTCAAAGCTCCGCCCCAAAAACAACACAAAACATCATGGAATCATAACATTCCAAACGAACTCTAAACATCCACCAAGCTCCCACCTCCCATCCCTGGAACTGCAAAGACATAGCCCCGTTTTGGGGCTTCGGTGTGTGCAAATGCCTAGTTGAGTCACAATCGGAAGATGGGACTAAAGAGGACCCAACATGATGCAAAATGTGCAGAATCAAGAGGGCGGATATCCGCCTTTTCCTTCCCTGGGTTTTGACTACGACTCAACTCATCTCGACTCTGATGCCTGTTCGGTCAGCTGACGCTTGGTCTTGGCCGCTTCCAGACGGAGCCGCCTCGGCCGGGGGCCATGTGACATCCTCAAAATTACTCTCTGAATTGAGAGTGTTCAACCAATCCAAACCACCAACCAGAGTAACCTGAGAGTTTGTGGAATGGATCAAAATTGAGAGAGAAATTAGCTCTAAGAGTATTCAGCGCCGGGAACGGTTCTTAGAACCTTCTTAGCAGGGTTGTGAGAATGCCCATTGGAAACTCAATTTGGAGGAAACACAGAAAAGGCAGGCGCTTCATCTGGCCTGGGCCGCGCTTCCAGACAAGTTGCTAGCAACACACAACACATGCCGGATCTGTGCCAGCTGCATATCCCGCACCCGCCAGATCCATACTCCAACCCAGCCCCGCCTGTGCTCCGCCTGCATTGCCAGTTTCACGAGCCTTCTGGACGGCTGGAACCCCTGCAGCCGGGTAGAGGACATCACCTGTGAAGCCACGAAGTCGTGCACACCAAACCTCAATTTGAGTGACCCGTTGAATGGGTTTTCACAAATGAGTTCTCTTCGGATGCTACACGCATGATTGTCCTCTACTCTATTGGAACCCGTTGAGGGTTCCCTGATCAACGGCGCTTGACCCTTCGCAACATGTTTTCTTCTTGAAGGGATGCAGTCGAAGTTAGCGCCTGAAGGGGCCCCTCCCTAATTTTAGAGGAACCCTCCTTGAGGAACCGTTTTCAGACATGCCCAAGCATACCCCTGAGTGTGATATTGGGGAAGTGATTTGCGAGGCGCAACAGTTTTTTTGGGGCAGGCAAAATATTAATAGAGTTTGTTAAAAGGGATAGGCTTTGGGCGGAATGGGAACCTCTTCGCAAGACATGAGTTTGATCTTTCAAGACCTGAAGGAACGGAAGCAATGCTCGTGCCTGCGCCGCCGGGGGCGGCGCCGCCTTAGGCGGCGCCGGGCCAAACCTGAGGCAGGCATGCCGCAGGCATGCCTCTGCCTTTCCGAACGGGTGTTCCCATGGGTTGATGCGTCTTTTGCCTAACCTTTACGTATACTAGATCTCGTTGCATGGTAAGCTATACAAGTGGTGCATGGTCCTTTGGCCCTCGGGTGTGGTGGCTGGAGGGTGCTGGAGATTTTCTAGAATCATGCGCTTCTGCTTGTGTTAGCGCCAGCTAGGCACACACCTAGCAAAGAAGAAAACCACCAAATTACTGGCTGGAAGAAAGAACCGGCACTTGGGCATCTCCGGTCAACGTGGCAAACGAGACGTGATTGAGATGCGTAACTGTTTAACTGCTAGAGCTCGGACCGCAAGTTCAGTGCAAGCAGAAGTCTCACATGCGAGAGGCTGCGTGTCTCTGTCACAAGCGATGCGCTAAAGAGGCAGAAGATGCAGCAAAATTATGGTTGGCAGCTCTTGCGTGGCGTCACAATACTGCTACAACTCGAGAATGATGGCGCGTTGTGTTAAAGCATCCAGCAACGGGGGTATCCATGCCAAAATGAGGCTAAATGGGTGTCTTTTTTTAGAGGACCCCCCCAAAATGGTGGTTTCCTCTTAGTTTCCCGTTGAAACCACCAACAAGAGGGTACCAAAAAAAGGCACATCCAAATGCCTTTTTGCGTGGAACACTGCATGAAGCTCGGGGCGCCAACGGGGGCCCTTGCCAAGGCACGCCGGGTCCATTGCCAGCGGTGGTGGCGGCGGCTCCACACGGCGGCTGTAGCCTCGGGCTGTCTTGGGGCGAAGCCCATTTTGGCTGGAAGGGAAACCCAAAGGAAACCAGCCAATTTGGGGTTCCGTCATTTTGAGACAAACCCATATGAGTTGGTTTCGCCAGATATTAAGCAAGCAAACACATAGATCTTCGGCCTTTCATCCGTGCTCTCTGGTAACCTCACTCCCTCTTGCGGTCGTGATAAGCCGTAAACATGTTGCCAATTGGGAGTTTCCAAGAAGGAGACGGTGCGGCAGAGCCATGGTCTCCCATGAAGATGGCATCAGCGATGCCAAGAACAGCCCTTGATTTGTGGCTTGGACAGTAGGATTCCCGTTTGGTTGCAAACGGCACTGAGGTTCGAATCCCCAAGTCACCAATCCAAACCACCAACCAGGGGCAACCTGAACAGCAGCAACAGCAAAAGAAACAAACTGTTTGAGAATCCCTAAATGTGTTCACTTTACCCAGCAGCACTGACAGGAAACCAACAAGAAATCACCATATTTGGGACATCTCAACCTGGGCTCTTTTGGGGAGCCAAAGGGCGATAGCAAGCTAACCGGTACTGCAAATCCTCCAGGGCATCCGGATCCTGGTGCACCGCGTCCTGGCACAGCTGTGGGCTTTGTCCCCCCTTTGGTGCGGGAACAGAATTCTCTTGCACAGTCGCCTCATGCCCCCTTCAAAACATCGCCAAACTCAGGGTGGTTCTTGACAAAAGGGGGTTGCAACCCAGCTCATCGACGTGCAGAGCTGCAGAACCCCTTTTTAAAAAGGGCTCCAGCTAATTATTTCTGGGGGCGGAATCCAAACGTCGAACAAATGCCACCGCCCTCCCTGGGCCATTAACAACGGGGGTTGGGTTGAATCCCATCGCTTTTCAGCAATGGGTTGGAACAAAGGGCTTCCGGATGCACAGTCCTTTGGCGCAAGCCATCGAAACCCATTTATTAGAATCCTTTCTTTCCGTGTCGCAACGCAACTGCTTTCAGGGGGGAAAGAATCCTGCGGATCGACACCGTCCTGCACCAGTTACGCATAAATCCCCCTACAAATACTAGTATATTGACTGCCTACTAACTGCTGCCTGGAGTGAAGTGTTGTGCGAGAGTACGACTGACTCTGTGTCTGACGATCTGATGTCACCCCCAATAGGATGGGTTCCATGAAATATCCGGCTCCTCCGAGGGCTTGCCTTGGAAGTGTTCCATGGACGAGCGGATGCCCTCGATGGACGCCAGCGCAGCGCTGGTCACCTGGGCGCCCTTCTTGTAGCGGTTTCGGACTTGACAATACCATTTCCAGATTTGAAAGGGCGGCCAAAGATTTCGGGGTCCAAATATCTATTTTGACACATACCCATTTGGCTGTCTTCTGTTCGGGGGTCATATTGGATGGTTTAGAGTTTGGAACTCTCAGTTCGCTGCATGTCCATGGTGGAAATTGTGCGGATCACCCTCGGTGGACATGGTAAATTTGGCTGGTCCCCTTGTCTTCTTGCGTCCCCAAACCTCCCTCCCAAACGGACCACAAACCACTGAGAATCTTGACCAAGAACCTCATGAGTCAAAATAACACCTCAAACATGGTGGGTTTTTTTGGTTTTGTTAGCCTGCAAACCAATGTGAAAGACTATGCCCTCAAAAGAACAGGGGCTTTACCCTAGTACTCTCAATGCTCGGAATGCTTTCAAAAATGGTTGGGAAAGGACGTAGATTCCGTTGTCTTCCCGACGTCCAAGAGCCCATTCAACCGTCAGACCACCAACTAAAACCAAGAGCTTGACTTTCCAGGGACGTGGATTGCTGGGTTTCTGTAGCCAAATCAGTAGCCACTTGGTTCAAAGCCCAATCTCTCTTTCACCAAAGCCAAGAGAGAGGTAGAGTGTCGAACGACACGTTGTGGGATTGGCACAACACACGGGACTCTAATGGCATGGGCCCCACGCCCTCCTTCGCTCACTTTTTCTGTGGCCTCATCCAGCTTGGCCAGCGGGAAGGGCAACGCCTGGATTCGAATTCTGAGCCCAAAGCGGATGCCATTTTTCAGGGATCTTCAATGAGGGTTTCTCTTTTTGCTAGGATCCCCCACTTCACGGTGAATATGAAAACTCTGCCAAGCACAAGCCGGCCGACAGCTATATTGCTCCCCTCCCTGCCCCCAGCCCCCATGATACATACATGATTGAAATCATCAACTCATGCAAACCCAACCAGGCCGCCAGGCAGCGCCATTCTTCCCTGCCGAGGATCTCCGTCCGTGCCAACCTTGCAATATGTCCCCCTTAAACATCAGCCCACCCAAGGAAACTGGGGTTCAGATCGAAAGCTTCCGTCTTCCAAAACCATGTCGATCGGCAGCTCCCTGATTGGAGAGGGCTTTAGCTTTTTTTTGTACCGCATTCTCTGAGGGCCATTCTTGTCCTGCATTAGAGCTAGTCATTACATGTCACCCCCACCCCCCAGAATGCAAAAACCCCTTCTAACGGTTCAATCACCTTTCCTGGGCTGTGGTTGGTTGTTTGGCTCCGAGTCGCGCCGCTCTTGGACCACCTCCCCAGAAGTAGCTGCAACCTGCGACGCGAGCCGGCAATGCATCTGGGTGAGGCTTCCGCAACATCCAGCAAAAACCACCGGAAGGCTATTTTGTGGTTTGGATTGGTGGTTTCGGGATTAGGGTGTGGTGTCCACAAGAACCGGGGGTTCAAAATCCCCAACCACAACTCCAAAGCACCAACTAAAGGTTGCCTGAACAGGAAGTCAGCCAAACGAAGAATACACACCAAGTTCCGGGTTTTGGCCGACTTCCTGCAAACTTCCTGGTTTCTTTTGTTCTTCTTTGGCCACGGTTGCAGAACGTTGGCCTTTCATTGCAGTACTGCACTTGTTGCTGCCACAGTGCTGCCATACAGCATCGTATGTCTGTGCCGTTGCACCCTTTGGGCGCCTACCCGGTCTTTAACCTCTTGCCTTTTCTTGGTTGAACAGCATCATCACCTCATACAATTCCGTTTGCAGCTCAAGTGTGGGAACTAGCTTGGAGCGGCGAATCTGTGGACCCACCTGTAGGTCAACGGGAGGAGGACTACGGGGAGTTAAGGCGCATCCAAGCTGTTTTCTAGAACTACCTTGGAAACTGGTAAACTATATTGAAGGGCGCCGCGGCACCACGCTAGCGGAGTTGTTCTCCCGCGCTCTTCCCCACAGAATGTTCACATACGCTGACGTCCCTGCGTCAACCGAAACAACTCTTCATATGTAGTGTCGTGCTCGGAAACAGGAAAGTCGGTGCATTACCCATGCAATCCCAAGATCAGCCCGCTGGCTGCGTCAAATACTTGGGAGCTTCTTGGTCCTCCGAAATCTTCTCAGGCCAATGCATCCACATTTGAGCCTTCTTGAGAATCAACATCCCGTTGAGAAGGGTCCGTAGCTTTGAGCACCCTTTCGGAATCATGGCTCGAACCACTGAGGGTGGAGTCCTGGCGATGCCGCGGCTGGCACCAAGGCAAGCGATGGGCTGGACAGCAGAAGATTTTGAGAGCTCCCCGCGAGGGGCCACAAGGACAAGGAGATGTTCCATGTTTGGATGCGTCGAGCAAAGGTTCCCTTTTAGAGACCATTTACCCATCAAAAGGATCTGAACAGAACAATAGGACGCAAACTAAAAGGAGATCACAACAGGAAAGACCCAAGCTCACAACCGGCCACCCGTTTTGTTCGCTTTGCACAGGTTTGGAGTGCTAGCCCGTCAGCTTCGATCGGTCTGACGGGTAACCCAAACCGCCAATCCAAGTCCCCAGATCACCAGGGTTGCCTGACCACTGCTGCAGGCCACTGATTGCACAAAACCAATCTTTCGGCTACAGGAGCCAAAACAAACAAAATGTAAAAGTGCGACGTCAACCCAAAGATAGTAAACCCACTCGGATTTTGATCCGGGGGTGTCCGATTTAATTTCACAGGCGATCCTTCACTTTTGGGGTGCGGAAGCACCGGCATCGACATTCACCCATACAGATCATGGTGATCCAATGCCCACGCTGGCACCCGCCTCAGGCAGCCGCGTCAGGACAGGATCTGAGCGCACCCTGGGCGCTTCGACTCTCTGAGGATTTGTGGGGAACTCACCGAAACTTGGTGCCTTGACTTGGGACCTGGGCCTTGCCGATGTGCCTTGCAAATGACTTAAACATCACGGCCAGATATCTGAAGCTCACCGAGCATTGGCCCTTCCGAACATATGAGACCGCCAAACAGCCTCAAGGCCAAGCTGCTTCCGCAGAGCGCCTGCAGGCTGGCCCCAGTCCCTGTCAGATACCTGGCCCAGTGCCGCTCACCGGCCTGTCTGCTAAGATCGCCTTTCACGTGAAGGGTAGAAATGTGCTTTGCGTGAAGCGTGTTTCCTCTAGTGCATGACTCTCTGACTCGTCTCCTGGTAGCACGGAAAGGTTGTAAGAAAGAGTGTAGCTCACCCAAATGACCTCCTTTTGCTCGCTGTTTTAAAGAACGTTCGACATGCTGTCGGATGCAAATAGCTGGTACTCAGAGCTCGCTGTGTAGTTGAGGGGCTCTTTGTCTCGCGCAGTGGGGCCCCAAAATGTGTGGTTTCCCTCTGGGGCCCTTCAAGCAAAACCTCAAAAAGGGGTGCCACCGACGCCATCTCTGAAAAAGTGCTAAATAGAGCCTTCTGGCATTCCGGATCCTATCTCAAGTTCTTTTTATCAGGGCTGGCCTTTGCCCCCCCAAAGCTGCAGGGTGAAGGTCATACCAAAGCAGCCAAAGCGTTCTGCGATTGATCGAAAACTCTGGCACTGGCCTTGATAAAGCCGTTCGTCCCAAACATTGCGGCACTCTGCTCGCGGTATCGCAACATGGCTGGCGGCAAAGCGCATGATGTGAGTTGCAACTGTCCGAAGCCTGACCCCAAGGCACTTGGAATGGTGACTTGCTGTTGCTGCTTGGCTCTCTCTCTCTCACTCTCTCTCGCTGACTGTTGACTTGGCCTATGCAATGCGCGATGCCAGCCTAGTGACATCGCATCCTTCTTCATGTCTGTCATTGTCGGTGTCTTCCGCCTTTTGATCAGCATGTATAGTAAGAAAAACACTTGCAGCTGACATGCACGGCTGCAGCACTCAACTGTTTTGACGCGCCATCTGCAACCCTAAGATGGCTCCAACCCAGCTTCTGCATCCCCACAACCTCCACACGCAAAGGGCAGCCGGGCATGAGGATCTAATCCGGGATGTGGGAGAAATCCATCCTGCGCACCGCAAAGTTCGGCGCATGCTCCGCTGCTTTGGCTTCCGAAGTCTGCTGATCTCCCTCCCAAGCTCATTGCCCATGCCAATCCTTCTCCACAGCACCACCCGCCCCAAGGAGTCGGCACTGGCGAGAAGTGTGTCCTGAGCAGCCGATGTCCCCCCACGGGATCGACGTAAAAACGTTGCAAGCGCTAAGCTCCCAGCTTGGTGATTGGTTGCCACAGCAACTACCGGCACCTGGCCGTGACGTTTGCACCTAAACCTTGCAAAGCGAACCCTGCGAGAACCAAACGAGTAGTTTGATCCTCCCAAACAAATGGCAGGTTTCATGGCTTCCTGACTTCCCTTTGAACGCCATGCCCCCCCTTACCGAGTTGACGGCTTCATTGGCTGAACCCACCAATTTGTCCCCTTTAAAAGCCATTCCTCGAATTGGGGCGAATTGGGGGCTCCGGCCCACCCATTTGGAGAGTAGGCCTGCCTGGTGGTGCTTGAGATAGCTCATCTTGTAGTTGGTCCCCTTCCCCAGGTTGTAGATGTACACCTCGACAGCTCGACCCGCGCACATCCGTTTCGACTGGCCAAGCATGGACGTAGCTTGGCCAGAAACAGACTCACACGCTATCTGCCTCCAAATGGGGGAGGGGACCGCAAAATGGATCCTGGCTTGCTTTAGCTAGCCTTCAAAAAGAAGCGATACCGCACATGCTGCGCTACGACGAATACGGCCGCCTCCTTGTCCTCCGATGCTGAGATGAGATATCCCTGGCCAGACCTCGGGACGCATGATTAACCGCCTCATTGCGTTGCCCCTGAAAAGGGGACGGGGTTTGGATTCACACGGGGGATCGTACTGATCAGAAGTATTGTTTGTTTCTGTTCTGGTATGGACATTATCTATATTTGGGACGTCTTCTGACTAGAGCCCTCCAAATGAATCGAAGTCAACATTAGTACCTGTACATACCTCTTTTGCATCCCCTTGGGTTGATGAGCGAGAAAGGCTCCCATACCCCGCTCCCCACCACAGGCAAAAACCCGTGAATGGGTTGGCAACCAGGGAATAGAAGAAACTGTGTCATGAACCAAGGAACTCGTACGCACTTCCACTCTTGAGAAGACCTGTCACACTCCCTCAGCACCAAAGTATGCGCAAGCCTCTCAGACTCGACTCTGAGAGCTGAGCGGGGAGTAGCAGCACTTCAAAGGCAAAAGTGCGTGCGCTATTCTCACTCCTGAGCGGAAATATGGGTCAAGGCGCAAGCACCCCGGTCTACGGGTGGAATGCCTCTAAACAATTTCCGACGTACATTTACAAACAAACCGGTGGCATGGCTTCTCAGCAAGTTGGTCCACAGCTCGGGCACAAGCCCAGGGTACACCCATCAGGTACATAATATTGGCCAATCATGGCGACAGTTGCAAGGAAAAACATGCTTGGGGCGCGAAAAAGCCAAAGGGCACGTGGAAATTTCCCCCCACAGCCCCCGTCCCCAGTCCCAAACCTCCGGTCGAACTCAGGTCACTGCGATGCCTGACCGCCAGGTTGGTCAGGACCTCAAGTCCCCGATGTCGGCACCGGATTTGCAGCTTCTGGCGGAATTCCCAAAAGGGTCTTGCGAAAAGCTTTCACGGACATGCCACACAGGGCCACCCGACGCCGGGCTGAGGCCCGTAGGTGCAGTCGATGATCGAAGCAGAAGAGTCCGATGTATTCACCTGGGGCGGATGGGAACTGGCACCAAAATACAAAAGTACCCCTCTCACCAATGTTCAAGCCAAACGGAGGGGGTTTCTACCGGGTTCGAGCCCCTCTCTGGCCATGATGTGGTCCGCGTTCAGGCGCCGGCCAGCAGGCAAGGAGGTTGCCCGTGAGCCGCCGGTACAAAGACAAGGCAGGTCACGCCTAGCGAGCGGCTCTCGGGCTGTGTTTTTTGGGAACCGGGCTTTAAAGGAAAGCCGTGGAAAGCAAAGTAAACCAAGCAGGTAATGCATGGGTGACACATAAAATTTCCGTCTTTGCCAAAATCTGTGAGTGCAAGCGTATCAATCTAAACCCGCCTGATGCTGGCACGCTCTCCCTCTCCCGCTCCGTCTCTCTCTCTCTCTCTCTCTCTCCCCCTTGTTTTGCTGTTCTCTCTCTCTCGCTCTCTCTATCTCTCTCTCTCTCTCTGTCTCTGCGTCCATGCGGCAACGTACCCCACACAAA